TCTCTCTCTCTCTCTCTCTCTCTCTCTCTCTCTCCTTCCTTCCTTCCTTCCTTCCTTCCTTCCCTTTTTATATTTTATTTCTTGACACAGAGTCTTGTAAAGTCCCTAAGTTGCCTGGTCTGGGGTCCAACATTTGATCCTCCTGCTTCAGCCTCCCAGAGTGCTGGGACTGCAGATATGTACCACCTTACTTAGCTCACATACTCATTTCTAAAGAGATGGGGTTTTTTCATCCTGGGGAAGTAAAGGAGGCAGCAGAGCAGCCGCCTGGGAAACACACAGTATGCAGGACAGTCTCATTTGCGCCGTCCCTGGGCCTGTGGCACAGTCCTGTGGGGCAGCAGCAGGTACGGTGGGCACAGAGCTGGACCCGCTGTTTCTCTGGCTGGAGGCTCCCCTGCTCAGGAGATGTCTGACACTTGGAGAATAAGGCTTGTTGGGTCACTGGGAGAGCGTGGCATTACCAAGTGTCCATGAGGAAGTGACCACTGTTGGGCACCCTCCAACTACACTTGACACAGCCTGCCCATCTCCCTGGAGCCCTGCAGGAGGATTCACTTCATAGGCCATGCCTAGGATGGGGGACCCACAGCTCTGTCTGCCGTCACCCTTTGCCCCGCATCCTAGGGAGTGCCCTCTTTTCCACCTTTTGATCCACCAGCGCCTCAGTTTGCCTGTGTGTAGTTGGGGACATCAGTTGTACCAGACTCGGGAGCTGTCGTGGACACAAGGGTTCATCTGCTCACAGGCACCAAGGAGCTCACTGCTCTCATGGTGGCCGGGCAGTGCTGGGAGGTAGCAGCCGCACAGGGTTCTTGCTCCATGTGACTCACCTGACCACCCAAGCCTGCGCCCTGCTGGTGGTTGCACATCTGCAGATGGCAGCCCAGTTGGTCCCCCCTGCCTGGCACAGGCCCAGGAAGGATGGTGGGGATGGGGCCTGGAGCACGGGGCTTTGGTGCGGGGGCCTGGGGAGAGCCCAGTAGGTAGACGGTGATGAGGGCTGGATGCTGGTGGGAAGCAGGGACTGTGGCTGGGTGTATCAGGGTCTGACCTCCAGGGAGGGAAGGAGCGCGCGGCCAGGCTGTCCTAGAGCTTGCAGCTCACACGCAGTTAGGGGCGGTTCTGCTCTGGTCTCCGCCCACCACGTGGTGCCTCGGGAAGGCCTTGCCTGGTGTGGACGTCCGGTGAGGTTTGTTCTGCTCTGTAGGAGGAACCTGGCCCAGCAATAGCTGCCCGCCAGCTCCTGCAGGCTGGGCCGCTCCTCTCTGCCACAGCATTTAGCTTCAGACAGTCAGGATTTTAAAGTCATGTTTGTTTTTTCTGATTATAAGCAAATGTATGTTTGCTTATAAAGTCGAAAACCGCACCCAAAAATGAAAATTACCAATAATAGTTGTACCTCCCAGAGACAGCTGCTGCTGTTTACCTTTTGTTTTTCTGTGCAGATGTACATGTGTGGATTTTTGAGTTTTTTTGTTTTTTTTTTTAATAGAACGGGACATCATGAATATACATTTTTCAACTTACCAACAACATTGACCATACTCCATATTGTCAAAGATCTCCATTACGATTCTGAATGGTCACTCTCCCGTACAGATATCTATCATAATGTATTTAATCAATTCATTATGGGCACTTCAAAGTTATTCCATATATATTAAGTTGATATTAATATATCATATGTGTCTGTATTTTTTGCTTATAGGAAATTGGAGGTCTTAATTCGGAATGCTAATGGCACACTTTTTTTTTTTTAATCTGTAAAGGCAAATGAAAAAATTATCATCTGTCACCGTCACACGAACCAGGGCCTGGCAGCTCACCGGCACCTTTTCTTAAGGTCAGTGTATTGGAGGGAACAGCAAATGCCCTGTTCAGGGATGTGGGAGTGACTACAGGTATTCCTGGTTTAATGACTACCTGTTAAACGACTGTTTGGATTTGTGACCCATCTTTTCTTTTTATACAGTTCTGTAATCTTGTTTATAGAGCTTCAGTGTCCTTTTTTGTACAGTGTACCTTGTTTATACATTACTGTAATTTTTGCTGATGGTCCTGTGCAGTGCAGTACTGTGTAGTTTTATATTCTGTTATACATTACAGCACTGTGAGTAAAAGTTATACAAACAGAAGCAGTGATCAAGGTAGAGTTTCCTTTGACTAATTTTTTGTGCTGAATATTGTAATGGACATGATATGCAGTTCCTCATGTGGTGACCAATTCATTTAATGACCCTGTCGCAGGACGAGGGCTTGGTTGTTAAACAAGGAGTGTCTGTACCAACACAGACGTTCAGTTTAAAGACTGTCCAGATGTGGAGAAAAATGTCTTCTGGTGCTGAGATGTTACCACCTGGAGCTGTGCTGGTGGGAAGACCTGCTGGGGCCCCTTCCTTTATACAGGAGGACTTTAGCAAGCCGGGGACCCTCCAAACCTAACCGTAGCCCCACTGGGTGACCCCATCGTGCAAATGTGTCTCGTCCTAGAGACCCTGAGGCCAACAGGACACCCTGCTGCAGTTGGTGCTTTGAGATGGAAGGAGAACCATGGGCTGCTGTGACTCAGTTTCCCACCAGAGTTAACTCTTTCCTGCTGTAGGACCTATTTTGGGAAGGAAGCTGAGGTTGCTGCTCACACGCATCTGGATTCACACAGAGCTGAGAAGCCAAAGAACTACTGGATGCTGGTCACTGGAAACCCCAGGGATGTCTCGTCCACCATGCTGGATGTACGCGGACAGCCAGCAGAAGACTCTGGAACCGTTGGGCCAGCTGTGTGCCGTCACATACAGTGACATGCCAGCACATACGTGTTCTCCTGGGCTCAGCTCTATCAGATGCAGCTTTAAAGGACATTGCCTGGCTCCGTCATGCCTCGAGCTGCTCTAGGTGAAGCGGAGAGCTCTCTGAACCTGAAATTAAAACAAAGGCTGTATTGAGATCAGTGCGTCCCTGGAAGAGGGGGTGGTCACAGGAACGCTCCTCTAGGGAACAAATAGCATTGCAAATGATAGAGTTGGGGCTCTTTGTTGATAACCAAATCCTAAAGAACCCAGCAGCCCCTGCTTGGAGCCTGACCCACATCAGGTTCTACAAGGACAATTACTTCTGCGATCTGTCCATAAGAAATTTGTAGGAGCAGATGTCATGGCGCAGCTCTTTCTCCTCCATGGTACAGCAGTGGGTAGCTGTGAACTGAGGCCTCTCCTTGGAATTAAAAATGTCCCTCCCTAGAGAACATCCTATTTTTGTTTCTACCTCTGGCTTAGTTCCTCTGTGCAATGGGCAATCTCTTATTTTGTGGTGAGTTTCAGACTGCAAGGAGCCTTCACTGCTACCTCTGAACCTGGCACACTGGCTGTGCCACCACATGATTGGAAAGTCCTTGGCACAGTGTAGCATTCTATTTCTTTGTGCTTATGATGTGTAAGTTGTTGTAATAGGGCAGTAGGCTTAGGTCACCAGTGAACAGGCTGAGGCGAAGGATACCAGTGGCACACATGGTTAGGTACACGAAGCTTGGCCACGGGGCACAATGACCCCTTTAGGGTTGCAGATGTTGCTATCTGGAGCTGCAGGATTTGGGGGTGCAGCTCCCACCTGTAGCTGGACTGTCTCGTGGTTCAGTGTGACATGTTGGGTTGCCCTGAGGATGCTGGGGCCCAGCGCATGAATTCTGGCCTCATGTCTGGGTGCAGCCTCTGTCTGGCCGTCTTCAGATGGCTTCATGTGAAGCCTCCAGGAATCCCATATGTTAGGGGTGTTAGAAAACAGCAGTTCCTTGGGTGTGCAGAGAGGGCTTTCACCAGTGGCTCTCCACCCAGCTGCACCTTTGGGCCACCTGAAGGATAAGGACACTCGGTGCCTGTGCTGTTCAGATCTGCATCCCTGGGGCTAGGGCTTTAACCAATACAGACTCATCTCCGTGGATTCTTGGTAATTGAAGTGGAACCCGGTATTTTACAAAGCTTGCTAATTTAATGTGCAGCCTGAATGAGAGGCCCTCCCTCCCCTGGGAACAGGATGATGGCTGCTGGTTTGTCTCCATAAGGCAAGTCCAAGGTAGAGGTGGACAGGTCTGGGCACCCCACTGGGCTGTTCAAGGCGTTCTTTACCAGTAAGAGTGCCCTGAAGACCCAAGCCAACTCTGGTGCAAGCTTACTCCTGTACTGGGAGGAAAGCTTTCTGACCACAGGGGCACCTACAGGCCTCCTGTGAACAACCCTCCAGTGGTTTCTGTACTGGACCGTCGAGGAGGGTTAACGTCACCATGAGGAATTGTGCTACTGACTGCTGGCGCTCTCATAGCTACGGCGTTCACAGAGGTGAAAACGGGAAAGAAACCTCAAGAGTCCCAGGACAGAGAACGTACAGAAGGCAGCTGCAGAACGAGCTCTTCCCAAGGGAGGAGGAGTGTGACAGGGGTCACAGTATCTGTTACCTCGACTGCCTGGGGTCTGGGACACCTTGAGGGGTTGTAAAGGGCGTTTACCACTCAGATCTTTGATTCTCTCTACTCACTGTGGTCATGTGGGGTCTTTTTCATCGCTTCTCCCCATTTCTTGAGAAATGTCTGTTAAGGGTGCAAACAAATCAACGAGTGAGCAGCTTCGTACCTTTTATGCAGAAGGCAGTACTCAAGGTCACAGCTTAAGGTCACACAGCCCAGAGCAGCAGTACAAGCTGGGCCAGGCCCTAGTAGGCCAAAGGCTCCTGGCCTCAGCACTCTTGGATTTGTGGCTGATTCTTTGCTGTGTGGACTTACTTGTGCATTAGAAGATGTTGAGAAGCACCTCTGGCCTATGTCCACTAAGAAACAGTAATATCCTGTACTGGTGAGAACCATAGCCATCCGTAGACATTGCTAAATGTCACCATTTGAGGACCCCTATCCTAGACTTTCTTGTAGATCTTTGCCATTTACAGAGGATGTGGTGGAGAGCTGTGCCCCCTCCTTCCAACCCTTCCTCCCTCCCTCCCCCTTCCCTCTTTTCTCCTATAGAGATTAGAATACCTGGTCTCTCAGCTGGCTCACTGCTTTTGGCCTGTGAACCAGGCTTTGATGGGAAACCAGAACTTTGGTGGCTTCCAGGCAAGGCTGCTGTGTAGACATATGTCTAAATGAACCTAGCCCCTCAAGCAGCCTCCATTGTGGGTTCCACTGAGACTTCCATGTATATCATTATTTTGTTGAAGTTTCAATTCATAGCCAGCTGGCTCCAAGGCAGGGCAGTATAGCAGAGGGGCATGATGGAGGGGAAAGAGCTCATGGCATGGCAGACAGGAAGCAGCAAGCAGCGGGTGGCAGCAGCAGCCTGTCTTTTGTTTTTGTCCCATCCAGGATACTAGCCTTTTGTGTGGTGTCACCCAACATCACTCTTGGTTGCATTCTGTCTGCAGTGAATCCATTCAGCCACCCAGGACTGTGCCAGTTACAATCAGTGGGCCAATTCAGTACCACACACCCTTAATCCCAGTATCACACATTTAGATCAAGCTAGCTCTGAAAAGCCCTACCTCTGAGTGCATGAGGCTTTGAGGGGACATCTAGATAACAGTAGGCACGCGTAAATTGTTAAATTCTTGAATGTGCTGTATAGTAAAGGCTCACAACTTACTGGCAAGTGTGCACAGCCACCTACTGTAGACACTGTCCTGAGTGCTGTGGTTGTGTGCCACACAGAAGTGCTGTCGGGTCACTGCTGCTACTGGGATGCCCGTGTAGCTTTTCTCCAAATCATGGGCTGCAGGCTCCTCCTGACACAGAGGCTCACTTAACTCACTTGGCGAAGTGCATGCTGACTGCTGCAGGCCAGTGCTCCTGCTGGGGTGGGGGTGGGGGCTGGAGACAGTAAGGAGCCATCAGGAGTCGCGGTTGGGGATAGTGTGACTATGCTGGGCACTAGTGTCCCAGGGTGACTCCTCCCCAGAGGTCAGAAACAGCTGTCTCAGGACCCTCAGAGGACAGGACAGGTACTGGACAGGAGACAGGTCGAGTGTCCCAGGTTCAGGAGACTGCATTTGCAGAGGCCACCTCTGTATCCCTGAAGTGTGGCACTTGGAGAAGGGAATGGGACAGTCGGGAATAGGCCATGAGCAAAGTTGACAATCACAGGCAGCCTATGTGTGGCTCACTGGTGATGATCCTATCACAGCGCATCCATCCTGGCCAGATGACAGCCATTAACCAAGTCCCCAAAGCACCATGAAGCCTTGGCCCCCAGCCAGGGCTTCCCTACTGTGCAGCTACCAGAGCATTGCTGTCCAGCCCAACCCCACTGTGCCTAGGGTTCTGGTTGTTGGGTGGTGTCCAGTGACATTCAGGAGAAAGCTGCGTGGTTTTGTTTGTTTGTTTCTTTTTTGGGTATGTGTGTGTGTGGTACTGGGGATTGAACTCAGGACCTTGTGCTAGCAAGGCAGGCACAGTGCCACTGAGCTAAATCCCCAGCCTGAAAGCTATGTAGTTTTGAACATCACTCTTGGTTGCATGTATCAGGTTGTGAGATTTGAATTTTATCTTGAAGGTGATGTCATGTTTTAGAAGATTTAAGAAAGAGGGTGGCATGGCTTTGCTTCAACAAGATACCATGGAAGTTCAGGGAAAGGCATCAACGAGGTTTGAGGCAGGTGGTTTTGGGGTTGAGGAGGGAGGGACGGGGAGGTGAGAGACGAGGAGGTGGGCACCCTCCCGAGAGCTGCCTGCCAATGCCTGCCCCTCAGGGATGCTCTTTTCCTGTCATGTGCTAGGCTGGCTGTTTCTACCCAAAGCCCAAGTGAACTGATACCGGGCAGCAAGTCCAGTCTCGGGATTGAGCAGTCTTAACGCTTGCCAGCCAGGCAAGTGTTGGGCCTCACCTGACCACTTACAGATAAGCAGGGGGCCCAGGTAGGAGAAAGGACATGTCTGAGTCTTCAGGGAAGACAGGCAGGGTCTGTGGAGGGTGGATGCAGGAGGCAGGGTGCACAGTACCTTGGAGAGAGGACCTAGGCTGGGACTCCACAGATGCGTGGTCCTTCTCAAAGCCCTATTTCTCCACGGTTCATTTGGGCTTGCAGTTCTCCAGAGTGGCCACGAGATGTCACTGTGAATAACGGTAAAGGGGCAACACAAAATTGCTGGGCTATTGAGTTTAACTTCAAAATATGGGGGAGCTTCAAGTTTGTAAAATCTACATTTTAAGAGGGGGAAAAACCATAAAAGCGACATGGCTGGATATCAGATCAATTTTTTTCTTTGTGAAAGAAACACTGAAAAGCTGCTTCAATCAGCATTCCTTGTATGTATGCCAAGGGAGTTCAAGTTGGGACTCTTTATAGACCTACCATCCTGAGTCTGGCCCTCCCAGAAACTTCCCTGACCCCAGGCTGGGGACCCTAGGTGATGTGCAGATTTCAGACCCTGCTCTGCTGCTTGCCAGTCAAAGCCAAGACCTTTGTCCTCCTCAAGCCGGGTCCCCTCCTTGGGCAGCAGATTCTCACATGCTCGGAAGATTCGGTGAAATGGGCGATGTGTCTTAGAAATGTGGAGGAAGGAGGCAGGTCCAAGCTCGAACATCTCCGTGGGGACACTGGTCACAACCTGCTTTTGTGGCCTTGGGAGGCCATGGTGTCTCTTTGAGCCTCTGTTCACTCCTGGGTTAAGAAATCTGCTAAAATTACCATCTCCATGGCTGTGATGAGGATGGGGGTCACGCACGGGAAGTGCTTGGCATCTGTCCTGCCCTCTGTCACTACTTGGTCTCTTATTCTGGCCTCTGCTCACCTCCTGTGCTACCTTCTCATTCTAGTTTTTAAGTATCTGTTTCTCCACCTGTGCACCACCATGAACATCTTCTCTAGAACAGAGCTGCCTGATATGTGCAGGACTTCAATCTCCTCATCCCCTGCCGAGCACAGTGCTCTGCTCGTACCACTAAGTTTCTCACTTTGCAGGTAAACAGAGCTTGGAGAGGTGAAGTGAGTTACCTGGACTTGCTGTGAATTAATTAAGTGTTTGATTCCTGTTCCTGGCTCTGAACAGCAATGGTGTGTCTGTGTCTCTGTTTACTGCATTGTCTGTGAACTCTTCGATGGCAGGAAAAGATACTCCCAATTTTATCTTCTGTGTCAGGACACGACCACCATAACGGGGCTGGGTGGCCATCACATCATGCTGTGCTGCCTCGTGGGAAGCGGCCCTTCTTGTGTGCTGGCTGGGTTGCAGTGGGGCAGGAAAGAGAGCAATGCCATAACGTGTCATAGGAACCACTACGTGT